CTGCCACGTCCGGTCTGTGTTTTCGAGTTTTGTATTGTATCTGATATGATGAGTTAAGCCCTTTTCAACTGATTTTTATAGTTTGTTCTTATGTTGTACTGTTTGTCAAAGGTTAAGGAGAGGGTTTTGTGCAAGTAAACTAGTTCAACCCCGCAACATTCTTAATGTGCCTGTCCGAAGTCAGAGGCTTATCATTTTGTCGTTGTATTTGGTTCATGTCTGTCATATTTGATTTTTGGAAATCGTTTTGATATAAATAAGGCCGTTTTATTTCTCAGTTGGATTGTTTTCATGTCAGGGCCTTTAATACAGTAAGCGTTTTTTTTCATTATTGAAGGCCGTACGGTTGCCTACAATTTCTAACATCCACTTCATTTGAACTTTGGTGGATATTTGTCTCATTGGCAATTATACATCATTTTCTTATTTTTATATTCTATGTTTGTGATGCCAGTCTAATGTACGAGCGAAATTTCGGGTGGAATTACGTGTATTCACTTGTTATTTCATTTCATCCCATTACAGTGTTCAAACAAGATCCCTGAAACTTCATAACAAATGTGTAATATGTCGAAGACGTGCATATGTTACTACTTACAAGTTTGCGCATTTTGCAAAGACTGTTTACTATAGTGAACCTTTCATAGAAATCATTTTCATTGCGTTTAGCTCTCGTCTCTCTATTTTGGAAATTTCTTGGGAACAATATTCAAAAGATAAGTAACATTATATACCTATATGAAAATATTTTCTTACAGAACGTCAGGTCCTTCTTTTGAAGAATCAACCCGGACGATACCATCTATTTTCTCATTTTACCTTATCAAATGATCAAATGACCAAATATTCTCATTTAAACAGAATAACAGCTGTGAACTTTATGGGGGAGGGTGAGGGGGTGTATAATATTAAATCCAGATTCTCAGTTTTAATAAATGTACTGCTAGACAAAAGAGTGGTAAAATCTATTCTGAATAGTTTATCTGAAAAGTTGTTAAAAGAATAATCTGCTTTTCCTTCATAAAATTCAATTTACAAATTGACTTGTATTTTTCATTCACAGTAACAATTTATTTGTGTCTTGCTTCCTGCTGTAACAGTTATATTTTCATTGTAACTGGATAATGATTTCTAAAGTTTATATCTAAATCAATTAGTGAGTTTTTTTACACATTGTAAATGAGCCGTAAGGCGTATATCAACCTGAACGTATCAGAAAAGAATGTACCACTTTAATGTTTTTGGTAAAGTAGGATTAAAATCCTGCAGATCATTGCAGAAGATAATTTTTGTTTTTTGACGGTATATAAGTCAAATAATGCAAATTTTAAGTGTTTTTTTTTGTCGTATAACACACCTGTGGCTGACCTATCATTTGACCAATTCTGACACCCCTCGGTGTGCTACACGACAAGAAAAACCGTAAAATATGCATTATTTATAACATATTATCTAACCAAATCTTTGAGATTTTACAAGAAATAGTCAACACTATTGAGGTTGTCATCTTTGCATTCTGAGAATGCTACAACATCATTTTTCATTTTCCTATTATATTTTCAAAATGTTAGTGAATATTATTTATTGATTTTAACAAATCATTTTACCTAACTGTCTTCAATTTGCGTTTGTTTTTAACATATCATTATATGATAAGTCGTTTGATGTTGTTTCTTTTATGAATTTTATATTCTGAAATTTTCGGCAGTGCCGATGATAAGTCTTGTAATGCCTGACGATACAGCAACAATAACAACCATTGTTATCAATTACATAATTCTATTATTGTTTGTTGTTACCACCATTTTTACTCAAGATCATATATATAGTAATGAAACATTAAATAACGTATAGGAATACATCGTTTGGTAGCAGATTGTTACAATCCACTGATAGTAAAGGGGTTTTAAATTGTTTCTTATTTATTGAAAAGTAATAATGTCATTAAACTGTGATCAATTAATGTCAGATATTTTAATCGTTTTACCGCCGCGGTGGTCTCGTGGTAGATTGTTCGCCTCGAGTGCTGGAGGTCGTGGGTTCGAACCCCGGCCAGGTCACACCAAAACTTAAAAACTTGTATATGCTGCTTCTCCGCTAAGCACGTGGCATTAAGAAGTAAGAGCAAAGACTGGTCGGCTCGGAGTCAGAATAATGTGTCCGGGTAAGGTAACTTGTCTTCCTGCGGGCTGTTACCTTGTGAACAATCACGTTAAAATCCGGCTCAGTGTGTCTGTCAAGTACAAAGCAGGGTTGATATTCATATTACATTAACATGTTCTCGTCCTGAATATGCATATAAATTTGCCACTGGACGTTAAGCAATCATCATCATCATCATCATCATCATCATCATCATCATCATCATCATCATCATCATCATCATCATCATCATCATCATCATCATCATCATCATCATCATCATCATCATCATCATCATCATCATCATCATCATCAATCAATCAATCAATCAATCAATCAATCAATCAATCCTCCTCTTCCTCCTCCTCCTCATCCTCCTCCTCATCCTCATCATCATCATCATCATCATCATCATCATCATCATCATCATCATCATCATCATCATCATCATCATCATCATCATCATCATCATCATCATCATCATCATCATCATCATCAATCAATCAATCAATCAATCAATCCTCCTCTTCCTCCTCCTCCTCATCCTCCTCCTCATCCTCCTCATCCTCCTCCTCATCCTCATCATCCTCATCCTCATCATCATCATCATCATCATCATCATCATCATCATCATCATCATCATCATCATCATCATCATCATCATCATCATCATCATCATCATCATCATCATCATCATCATCATCACCATCACCATCATCATCATCATCATCATCATCATCATCATCATCATCATCATCATCATCATCATCATCATCATCATCATCATCATCATCATCACCATCCTCCTCCTCCTCCTCCTCCTCCTCCTCCTCATCATCATCATCATCATCATCATCATCATCATCATCATCATCATCATCATCATCATCATCATCATCATCATCATCATCATCATCATCATCATCATCATCATCATCATCATCATCATCATCATCATCATCATCATCATCATCATCATCATCATCATCATCATCATCATCATCATCATCATCATCATCATCATCATCATCAGCATCATCATCATCATCATCATCATCATCATCATCATCAATAACAACAACAACAACAACATGACAGATTATCTGTGCAATATCATCATTTTCCCTTTAAGGAACATGTTTAGATATGATCTGAAGTCGACTACCACCATTTATTCACAACTTTCTCACGTTTTTCAATTATTTTCTCCTATGTGATTACAGTTGGCTG